TTCCCTACCAGGTTATGTGAAGAGACACGAGCCCAAGCTGCCGAGTCTGACCTTTAGCTGTGTCAAAACCTGACAGGAGGGGCACGGTCAAATCTATGTGTTTCTCTCTCCTTGCTGCAACTTATTAAGCATTCAAATTAGGCTTTAAAAGTCAAACATGTAAATCATTTCATGCTGATTCATTAAAGCCTGGCCCTCCTCACGAGGTTTCTGCATGTCTGGAAAATTGACATTCTTGGAATGGAAGAAAACTGGTCAAAGAGACCTACAAGTGCAGTCCTGTACTCCCCTGAATGTAAACAACTTCCTTATTTACAAGAAAGTCAGTGCTTACTCTTTGGACTGTCAGGCAGAAATTGGGAAGTGTTAAAAGGAAAATTTCAGTGCATTACAACTGGTTATATATATATGGTTAAATTGCACTTGGATTTAAATAGGAACATGCCTGAGTCTTAAAAAAATTAGCTAAAAGAATACTGAAGAAATAAATTCTATCAGCTTAAGCAGCAAGGTTTAGCATGTATGGGGGAAGCAGTGCTTACCGCGTGCTTTTAGAGGAAAAAATAGCAGTAAAATTCAAAAGCTTCTATAAAACACTTGCATAAAAAACGTTATCTTTAAATAAATTTTTGAAAAGGCCTAAGGAGTACACTTTGTGACATATTCAGAGCTTCACTGGAAGAAGGGGACAAAATAACGAAGCTTCCCTTTAGTCAAAAGCATAGGCTGAAGTTTAACTCCTCCCTTAACAGAAAACCTGAGTTTCAGAGAGTTTGGCTCAGCGTTCAGCTACTGTGGCATCTCCACTTAACTACACTTTGCAGCTACCCAAGCCTTCCCTAGCCCAGTCAGCCTGCATTTGTGCGGCTGACGGACCGCAGAGGCCCGGGGAGCAGAACTATGGGGAGGGTGACAATTCCCTTCACAGGTGACATTTAAGGCCGATGAGATACATTCGGATATGGATTTGGCTGCTGCTTCTGAAATGTGGAGCAACAGTATCTTCACTAAGAGAGGCAAGTCACCTCCCAGGGGCACAAGCGTCGTTCTAAGGAAACAATGCTGAAGTAGTACTATATTTCTAAAAACTGTCATGAACTTTTGTCCCTACAGCTCCTCTATTTTTATATGCTGCAGCTACTAAGAACAGGATTTGCGGAAGCCTCCACAAAGCTGCCCTTACTGGAGGCTGCTGACCTATGACCCAGTGACCACCCTGCCCTTAGCCCGGCACTACGACTCGCCCCAGGCCAAGGAGTGCCAGAAACAACCATTGATCTCCACACCTCCGCAGGGCAAGAGAGCAGGGCAGGCAGGAAGTTGCAAGGAGAGCACAGATCAAACTCAAGCACTGGCAGACAGATTTTGCTGTACAGAAAGGAAGAGAGAAGTGCAGTTAGAGGCCACGAGCAAGAACAAAGCCCCTTGCTCTCCACCATTTACTCGCTGATGCTGCATTAGACTGTCCCTCCTAGGAGCTGAGAAGGGGCACTGCTGACAGACAGCCGGATACACAGCAAGAAAACTATGCAGATTAATAATTCAACTGGGCTCCTCCTGGTACCTGCTTCCTCTACGGACTTCTGTATTGCTTCTGCTAGTTCCTGGTCTGCAATCTCCTCCGGCCGCACGTCTTCCCGCCCGGCCCCGTACGCCAGCCGGGCACACTCTGGGAGCTCACCCTCCGGGAGGAAAGTGGTCTGCGAGCCAGTCGTGCCAATCACTAGTACATTCTTCTTGAGATCAATTGAACACTGTGAAAGAGCATTGAGACATCAGGGGCCTGCGTAAGAGCCAGTCAATTCCCGGAGAAAAAGGATCAACAAGGTTACACAATCCATTTCCAATGGGAACAGCTCATAGCAGCTAAGCAGAGTGAGCCAAGAGCACCGGCTGTAAGCAGAGGGCTCCGTATGACTTGATTTGCAATAAATCATTCCGCTGGAAACCTCTGAGCATCTTTGATGAGAGCAGAAGACTTCAGGGGGCAGCCAGACACCTTACAGCTACCCATGATGTGTGTTACTTCTTCCATAAGTGGCTGGAAGATAATCCACTATCAACTCTCCCCAGAAAAATCCCAATAAATTCATAGCCATGGTATTTATGTTGTACTTGGTACTTAACTGGGAAGAGCCACCAAGTGTTTCAAAAGATACCTGATGCCTCTTCAGCATATCCAGTCCTAGGAGCATGTCCATGGGCTGCTCTTCAAGGATTGAGAAGGAGCACGCCAGGAAATCCCCTTCAATCTGGACCTGAGCTGAAGCACATGGGAGAGAAGTGACCACCTTGCAGTGCTACAGCGCCACAAATCTACTTTCTGCTATTCCGTCTCCTGCAAAAGGTCTGCACAAAGCTGCTGGCTAAATCTGAAAGCAGAGCTCTGACGTGCTGGTTTGGTCACAGAACGTCTAGACTTGTGCAGGCCTCAGCACTACCAGGTAATTATTTAAAAGCTGACCTGCTCTAGAGCCCAAAGTACTGCTCGTCTAACCCTCCAAGCTAGAGGAGCTGCATACAGCTCGTTAGAGAGCAACTCTAAGAATAAACAGCAGTGAAAAGAATCGATTTTTCAGACAATAAGGACAATCTGCTTTCACCCAGAAAACCTGCACAGGAGCAAAGGCAGCCTTCTCTTCCCGAAGGAATACGAACCACTCCACTGGAACCCTTCCTGAGCACCTCACATTGCCCAACAGTCCCACCCCAAGAGGGAAAGATCCTGCTGTTTCACATTAGCTCCCTCTTTTTGCCCCCACAGAGAACACAGGGGAGAGCTGAGGACGCCCTCCCCTGAAAACGTTAAGGTAATGCCATTAAAAAGCGTTAAATGAGACAGAAGCCAGAGTACTGTGCCCATAACAAACATGTTGCACAGGCACTTTTGTTTCACTCCGCGGGAGTTTCTAACAATTACAGCGTTAAACCAGATACTCCTCAGTGCCAGGAATGTGGCAAATGCAATCAAACTGCTGCCAAAGCTGCCCCAAGAAGAATTCCAGTACTTACCTAAGTGCACTCTGCCAATTATTTTCTGTGTCCCTACACCCTTAGCAATGCCAGCCCATCGCCGATCCACCAGCCTCATGATATTGCACCGTTCAGCGCAAGCTTGGCTCATGATGGTCATCTGGGCACCTACCACCAACAGAACCGGTGTTAAATCCTGACAGCTCATCGCAAATGAAAATTCTCTCCTGGAAGAGCTTAATATCTTGCCCTCGGCAGCCGGGAAACCAACCCGCCTGCACGAGGCGACTGCATTAGGGCATAAAGGCTCGCTGTGAATCCCACTGCGTTGGACTGGCTGCGTACGCACAGATCAGCCCTGACAGTAAAGTAGGGATTACCGCAGAGCTGGAATAACCCCAAGTACTTTCCCTGTAAGGCTGTGGATGGGAAGCACAGCATTAAAGGCATGTGAAATCTCCCCCATCTGTAAAATGAGATAAGACAGACAGGTGGCAGTGACCTTCCTGGCATCGCAGCCCCAGAAATTCTCACAGGAGCCTTGACCTGGGGTGTTCAAGCACTCCCAGGCGCTGCTTGTCTCAACAACGCGTTCTGTTCGCCTTAACCAATGCCCAGGCTGCTCTCAGGTTTTAATGAGGTGCTTCAAAATTTTGTAACGCAGTGTTTCAACATGGATTTTTTGCAGGGCAAAAATTCTGGGACATTTACTGCCCGTCAGTGAGGGAAAGGGATGAAAACGGGGGCAACTCACCTGAGTCGACAAAGGCTTTCACGGGGTGTCCATTGACTTTGCAGTTGATATACAGCATCACCACCTGGCCAAAACTCTCGGGGGCTTCTTCCATTGCTATCGTCATGTTCTCTTCGATGTTTTGTTGCCTGAATTTAGCAGAGAGGAGAGAAAAATCAGACCTTCCGTCAGCTGAACCTTATAAACATCCCTCCGACTTACAGACCTGGTAATCCCACCCGCTGCAGCTCACTCTACCAGCAGCAGGTTTAAACCACAACACAGACTACTTCGTTAGCTAAAGCTCCCCTCTTAGCAAGGGGACTGCGAGTAATGATCTCGGCTTAATCCAGAGACACCAAGTCTCTGACCCTCTGTTTGCAACAGAAACCTGCCACCACAGAGTTAACCTGAAGAACCTGTGAGCGAAAAAACCTGCGTATGTTAGTCGCTCTAAAATAAAGCCCTGAGGGCACACATGGTGAAGATATTGCCAGTAGCTACAACCCTGGAATCCCACCCAGCAGCCGAACACGAAAATCCTCCAATGCTTCCCTGGTATCTTTCCTTTTCCAGACATAGGAAGGGAAGATGAGCAAAACCACGAGGAGAACACCACCATGAGCACAAGCCCCTGGTACAAATTCAAGCCTACAGATAAACGCTCTTCAAGAAGCCCACCACAGCCCCTACAGTATCTTGGAAGTGATGGTTATCCCTAGTGACTGCATCCAAGGTAGCTTTATCTACCAAAAAGGGAAAAGGGCTCCCAGTTTTGATGCCGTTTCATTTTTCCTCGACGGTCTTAACCCTCCTTTTGTACTGTGGAAGCCTTCCCACAAGATGGGTTGGCGTGGTTTCTTGGTGGGGAAGGAAACCAGCTGACAGCTAAAGCACCCTACCGCCAGCCTGTCCTGCTCCATATACGAGTGAAAAAGACCCACACATTGTCCTGCCTTGTATTTTTTAAACTTAAATTGAATATCCTGTGGTTAATCTTCAGTTTGTTTTCTTAGCAAATCCATTATCCCGTTTTCTCTGTGCTTGACACGCTCCACCTAAGATACACGTGAAAGGCAGAGAAAGGCAGAAATCTCAAAAAACACACGATGCTCGCAATAGCCTCCTATCAATTTTGGGCAAAACGCACCTAATTAAGCAAGGAGTTCAGAGAAACTGAGTGGGCGTGAAATCTGTGGACTGCTAAATGCCCAAACTGTTCCCTAACAGCTGCACAGCCTTGGGTACCTCACCTTTATCTGTCCCCTCACCTATGGAAGAGGGAAAGCGTTCCTGCACCTCTGAGCAATGTTTTGCTATCTAAATGTATATTTTTCTGCATCATTTAGCTAAGCATTCACCCAGCACCAATACCCTGGCAGTTGTAACGCGAGTGACTTATCAAAACAGAATTTTGGTTATGACCAACTATGAGCCTGTATCACAAAGACATTTCTTTATTGGAGAAAACCCTCACCACTCGTTTTCCGACTCTAGGATTTATCACTCGATTGAAGAAATCGAGCCTCAGCCCAATGCAATTACATTTGGAAGACAGCAGAAAGGAGTGAGCACTGACGAGCAGAATGTATTTCTACAGCCATCTCTTCTGACAGCAGTGATGTTCAGAGTCTGGAGTTAGCCAGGGAGACAAAACAATTAGCAGTATGTGAAGCCAAATCTTGAAGGCAGCTGGGACCAGTTGTTGCTGCTCCAGCACGTTGCTGTGCAGAGCCCAGCTTGGACAGTAACACAGGTCATAGAATCACAGACCGGTTTGGGTTGGAAGGGACCTTAAAGCCCATCCAGTTCCAACCCCCCTGCCATGGGCAGGGACACCTTCCACTAGACCAGGTTGCTCCAAGCCTCATCCAGCCTGGCCTTGGACACTTCCAGGGATGGGGCATCCGCAGCTTCTCTGGGCAACCTGTCCCACTGCCTCCCCACCCTCTCCGGGAAGAACTTCTTCCTGATATCTAATCTAAACCTCTCCACTTTCAATTTAAACCCGTTACCCCTTGTCCTGTCACTCCCTGCCCTTGTAAAAAGTCCCCCCCAGCTTCCTTGTAGCCCCTTCAGGCACTGGAAGGTGCTATAAGGTCTCCCCAGAGCCTTCTCTTCTCCAGGCTGAACCCCCCAACTCTCCCAGCCTGTCCCCATGGCAGAGGGGCTCCAGCCCTATGAGCATTCATGGCCTCCTCTGGACTCGCTCCAACCAGTCTATATGGTCCAGGTCTCCAGACTGAAACATGCCTGACATGCTAAGTGCCACCTCTCAAGAGGATCTCAGCTACGTGCTTTCCACAAGTGCTCTTGTTTCGGAGCAGACCAGCTCAGGCAGCTCTGGGTCAGGACACAAGGACAGTGATGCTGCCACCTCATGATCTGTGCTCAACTGGCTACACTGAAAGGATGAGTTGTGCCTACACGTGCCCGATCCCCAACCTTCCAAGGTGCAAAGGTGGCTCAGAGCTCTGCAGGCATCTTAAAGCAGGATCTAAACATGCTCCTAGCATCCTCCAAGGAAAAAGCACCATGGGTGGAGGCATCCTGTGAGAAAAAGCACCATGAAGTCCGCCAAAGCCCGCAAGCGACTTTGGTTTGCTACCTGATGTCTTCTTCTATCTTGGCCTGTGCCTCGAGATCAAAAGGGTCAGCTGAATAGAGTCGGATCCTCTCTTGCTCCCGCCGGGCTCGGTCCTGCTGCTGCTCCAGCAACACCCTGGTGAATTTATCTGCAGTAACAAGGAGACACAGAAATGCTTTTTACTGGAAATTGCTCTTACAAATGAAGTGCTGGCACAGCAAGCTCTTCTTTTTGTGCCAGCGTGCACTCAGGGGTAGACTCAGCAGCACAGGCACAAAGGGCTTCATCTGAAGACAGCATAGAGGGACCTCTAAGGATCGGTGACAAACTTGGGAACTCACTGAGGTGAAAAGTAACTGGACAGAGCTCCTTCCCCTTGTGCCTGCTACCCAAACTCAGCACAATCCAACTCTAGTTCCTTGTGCGTACATTTTTATATGGAAGAAAGATAGAAGCAACATGAAGACAACAATATTTAACCAAAAGAGCTGCCATTAAAACAGAGATTTGTTCTTATATTGCAGCAAGAATTGCCTACACAATATACAATACTAAAAAAAACCAAACCAGCTGCAAAACTAGCAGATGAATGAGACCCGAGCAGAAATCAGGGTTACAGAACTTGCACAATTCAGACGAGAAGCTTGAGTGCACGTGTATTTTGAAAACGCTTCAGAGACAGGAGCGAGATTTCGTAACTCTCAGTAAGACGGCCCATCTACAAGAACAGCTTGCAAAACCTACCCCGTTTTACACTCAGCAATCCCCAGTAAAATAACAGCCTGCAGATCCAACAACGAGCAAATGCAAAATTGTAAGACATAAAAAGGCTAACAACAAAACTTTAAACCCAAGCAACACAGGGAAAGACAAATGTTAGAATCCTTAAAGCTGAATGCCTGTCACTGAAATCAGGAGGTCCTAGGCAGGACACCTGCTTCACAAACCTAGCCACACGTTTCACAGATTTCACAGCCCCACTTTTTGGACAGCTTCTGCCTAATTGGATCAGATCACGTACGTTCTCAAAAGGACTTGGCAATAAATTAAGTTCTGTAAACACAGAAGATTGTGGGTTTGCTTCTAGGAATGCA